AATCCTAAATCCAATAATCCAAAAACCTAAACCCTAAAACTCTAAAATCCTAAACACTAAACCCCTAAATAACACCTACTAATACAAAAAACAAAAATTAAATTAGTTTCCTAATGCTTAAAATAAAAGCAAGAGATACAAAAGTATATTTAAATATATCGATTTTCAACAAAAAAAAAAAATAGTTGAGATGAGAAAAATACCAATGATGCCAATTTATTCTTTGATGCATCTTCAAGTCTTTTGGATTTTGTTGACGTTTAAGGAGAACATGCATCAAAATTTTTTCCTCCACTCAACTTATGCACAAATTATCAAGCTTTGTTTTGCTTATTTCATCCTCTATATTTAAAAAATTTAACAAGCCTTAGATACATTAAAAAATAAATAAATTTCTAGTTAGAAAGTACAAAAGATCATGAGAGAAATTTATACTTCAAAAATCTTATCGGGAGATCCAAAATCTGTTTGTTCGGTCCGAGAAACTCTTATTTGTTTTTTCAAATAGCCTAAAATAAACCCTAAACCCCTAAATAAATCCTAGAACCTAAATTCTAAATCTCTAACTAAATCCTAAATCCTAAAACCTAAAGCCTAAAATCCTAAACTCTAAAGCTTAAACCTTAAAATCTCAAAACCTAAACCTACATCCTAAATCTTAAAACCCTAAAATCCTAAACACTAGATCCTTAAATCACACACCTACTAATACAAAAAATAAAATAAAATGAAATTAATAAATTTCTTAAATCTTAAAATAAAAGTAAGATATAAACAAGTTAAATTAAACTGAAATATTTCGATAAAAAAAAAAAGTAGAGACGAGAAAAATAGCAAGCAATGGACTTTAACAATGGAAGCACTGCATATCCAATCACCACCTAGAAAGAGAAATGGTATAAAGTCAATTCACAACAAAATATATTTTGAAGTCTACCATAACAAGCAATGGACTTTAACAAATTCAAACTCTACATTAATGGAAAATTAATGCAAAATAGGAATTATAGTAACATTCAGTATACAGCCCACAATAGAAAATAACGCTTCCCATGCAGTGATGTCTTGCAAGAATGTAGCACATTCCTTTAATTATAAATCGTATGTTAAAAGACTTAGTTTCAACTAGAATGAATTTAAGTGATGATCATGGAAAACAAGTTCGTATTTTGAGAAATTGTTAAAAGATCTATACAATCGGAGTGTTGTAAATGCACCAGAATATGCTTTTCCACTAAGTTACTATTGAATAGAGAAGAATAATAAGACCATAGCACTAATTATAACAGCACTTTTTTGTTTGTTAGGACGAGAAACACCTTTTCAATAGATGTTTTGCCTGCAGAAGATAAAGCAATATTTTTCAAGGGCATCAGAAATAGTTTTGCCTACATAGTAACCAAACTATTTCAATAAATTTCAAGCTGCATGCATATGGAAGTAGTATTTACACTAGCAGAATTTAGTTAGGTTGGGTTGGGTTTCAAGTCATATGCAAACTGCATATGCATGTGGTGTCACTTTTCTCCACCTGTTTTTATTGTCTTTTATCCAGCAGTAATAACAGAGCAGAAGGTTGGAATTTGGGATTTTGTTTCAAAACAAAATACATTCCTATACTAAAAGGAGCGCTAATTTTCCAAGTTACTGATATTAAGATGCAAATATCTGATTGCTCAATATTTCCATTTACAGTAAATCTTCAGTAAGCCAGTTTTATCATACATTTTTTGTTCAGATTTCATCCCACAAATGCTGAAAAGTGAATGGAACATGTAGCCAGAATGCTCAGCACAACGGAAGTGCTAACTGCTAAGATAATTTTCTTTGAAATATGTCACATTTCATGTTAACTGATTGTCACTCACCCGTATAAAGCTGAATGTCGATTAGTTGAATATAAACCATATATATGTGTGTGTGTGGAAAGAAAACAGATATAGAATGTACTGGTTTTGGAGCTTCCAATTTTGTTTGAAGATCAACATGGAAGAAAGTGAACAAGAGGTGGTGTGACGGTGTCCAGATTGCAGGCAGAGAAAGTTTGATTTCATCATGATAGCAAGCCACCCTGGTCCCAGCGGCTACCTGTGTGTGAGCCCACTTTTGGGGTGAGGATCCTGGCTCCCTCAGATGCATAGCCTACTAAGATTATGCACACACATCATACAAGTCCAATTACTCACAGATAAGAAGAAGATTCTCGGATCCCAACGGTATGATTAAGTGCGCGAATTGCTTGTAATCTTCAAAACCAATTAATAAGTTAATATCCCACAATTTTATACATATGCTCACGTAACAATTAACTTAAATTGTTACGTGACAATGAACTTAAATTGATATTCAAAACATTTCTCACTGAATCAAATGCAAAATCTGAAGTATATTCTCACAGATAACCTAAGAAATTAAACATCAAAAATCAAAATACGCACCGCCGTTCCATTCATCATCATCCTGCCTAGGAAAGAACTCTTGAGCATTTTACCAATCAGGGAAAGAAGATTTAAAGAGACAATAAATTATGACAATCTTCACTCGCTCTTCTTCCTGAAAGAGCACCCCTGTTGGATATGCAAATAGCAACTGTTAGGTGATCACATTGTCGAACCTTTAGCGAAACTTGAAAATATGGTGGACTCATCATGTATAAGAGCTCCTGGTTTGCTTCGCTCAACCTACAAAAGCAGAGAATAATATGTGAAAAAGCTCTTCATATAATTTGAACTAGAAATGAAACCGTATCTAAAGCTTTTGCAGCACTGAAGCTGTTTGAGTGTCAACATTGGCTGTGCACTCATCCAAACAAAGTACCTGAAATTTTTTAATATGTTAGTAATCTCCAAACACAGGCATACTCTAATGCCGATGCACTCCTCCCCTCAGTTTTGTCTACAAACATAATGAAGCCAAAGTCCTCGCTGCCCCCGCACATTAAGCCTGGCACGACCCCCTGTTGGTTGGCACAACACAGTCTAGAAGTTCCCAAACGCCATCACAGTTTGCGAGTGACTAAAAACAGTGGTTATGTTGAAGCAACCCTGGCACTTCGCATCCATGGAAAAAGAGTTTGGGAACTGAACAAGTCGCTTGAGCTTGTGCTTCCTCTTCTCAAGCTCTGCTGGTGGGTTAAGCAAATCGATATTGTTTAGGAGAACCTACCATCAACAAGGTTCCAAAAACAGACTAGTTAAAGAACGAATCAGATCAGTTAATGAAATCGAAACTATTTCTCATGGACTCACCATTTTGATATTTGAAGCGGATTTTTTCTTTCTCAGTTTAACAAAATGCCATAAAGACTGCGCCGTTTTACTGTAGCATAAATAGTAAAATATATCAATTAGTGTAGCATTAACAGTAAAATATATCATTTACTGTTTCATGCACAGTGATTTAAATTTGCTCTTTTTTCTTGGTTGATCCACAGACGACACTGTCCCTGTTACCGTTACCTCTAAGCCAAGAGTTCTTCTGGCCCTTCTACAAAGTTTGAAAAGCTCGTTTGAAAGTTGGGATGAATGACATGTGGCTGCTGCCATGAACTGTGTGGATCCAATGGTTGAGTGCATGTAAGACCAATATTTAGTGAGGTCTATCAGCTAATGATCCGTTATACTGTAACAGTACTTAGCATGAATACTAAGCTATTCAACATGGTGAGTATGAACAATGATATATATTTGCTCGTTTTTTCAGGTTGATCTGCCGACGATACTGTCCTTGTTGCCGCTACCTCTGAGCCAATAGTTTTGCTGGCCCTTCTACAACAACTGGTATGTGATATTAGGATGAAAAGCTCTAGAAAGTTGGGATGAATGACATGGGTTAATCAAGCAGAGATGTCATATGTGCCTTCCATAATCATGCTAAGGCAAACGATATGAGGACCATTTTCACCTTAGATTCTTTACCGAACCAAGATCAAAGTTCCATTGTAGTCCAAATATAAAGAGAGGAGCTCAAATCTTTCACTGGTCCTTTCATATGGTAGATCCCCAAGGTTATCCTTGCACGTTTACTTCATAAACCTCTTTTACTTAACAAATCAGAGTTACTGAATGCTGAAAGAAAACATGAACTACAAGTAATTTAACCTTTGTTCTTATTTATATCCTCAACACTTTTCAAGGGTACAACCCAATCTTGAAGAAGTATCTTGCCACTTGCCTTGGGTCGCAAGAACTGTATAAAAAAACAGAATACATAAAATCTAAATTTCTGTATAATAAATTTCTTAAAGCAATGTGAGTAAATAACTGTTACAACCACAAGTATTTTAACCTTTGTCCTCGCCTAGGAGTTACGAAGAGAGTTCTAATTTTTTTTTCCCCCTTCTTTCTAGCAACAGCAGTTGCAGTTGCAGTAGAAGTACAGTAGCAAATATATCATTAACAGGGAAGTCCCGTCTGAAATCGCATTATTGTTGTGTCAGTGTCGTTGTTTTGTGTCTCTCAATTTCTCATATCTTTTTGATGGATGTTATCGAAATCTTCAAATCTTGGAACCTGACAACTCCATCTCGACGGTTTAGACAGTTGAAGTTTGAACGCTTCTCTTTTTACTTTCCAGAGCAGCATTCTGTTACGTGGAGTAACAAGCATAGCAATGCTGTTTTTTAATTAAAAAAATTAGTAAATTCCCCTCACGTTCATGCGCGGATGTACATAAATCTTTTGTGTTTTTTATTTATTTATGAATTGCCAAATTTACCCGTGAAAAAGAATTGAAGTTAGTGATAACTATTGATTCCAAAATCTTATTTGTAATAAAAAAACGTAGTAATAAGTTTTGAACGTATGATATACATACAAATAAATTATTTAAAAAGATTTCATATACCAATGAGCGGTAATTGTTATTTTTATTTTTATCTAACCATTTAATGAAAAAAACATATCCGTACAATGCTAATTAATGAGAATGTCTGAAAGATGATGAAGAGAGAGGAGACGCAATTGACAAGAAAGGAACACGGTCATAAGAAAGAAAGAAAAATGAAAACGGCAAGAGAGGAAGAAAGGGGGATGAACAAAGGGAATGTAAAAAGATCGAAAAAGGCCGAAGAAAAACAAAAGGTAAGTTGATGGTATGCTATTCTTTTGTCCTGCTTTTTTTTTTTTTTACTATTATCTTTTTCGTCATTTTCTTTCTTTTTTTTATTTACCTGCCAAATCATTTAATGCTCTTGACTTTTGCCTTCCTACTTACCTTTTTTATTTATTTATAATTTTTGGTCTCATGTCACATCTCCTTCCTTTCTGCAATCACCTCCTTTCCATCTTTTACTTTTATTTAATATTTTTTTCCCACTTTTTTAATCTTGCCAGGGCATTTAATGATCTTGCCTTTTGTGCTCCTTCTTTGACTTTATTTATAATATTTTTTCTCCCGATTTCATCAATTCTTTTCTTTCTTCAGTCAACTTCTTTTTTCTGTCATGTAATCCAACGGTTGTGAAAAGAGCTGATTAGCCATGAACGGATCAGATCAAACCAAAGAACCAACAAAGTTTACTTCAGTCACAAAGCACAGTGACATTGAGTCTTGAACAGTCAAGTTCTTTTAGTTTTTTTTTATTTTTATTTTGTAAGAACTAGAATTTAGAATTTACCTCTTGTTTGGACTGGAGGAAAAATGGGAGAGAGGAAAGAAAATAGGAAGGAAGAAATGGTTTCTTTCGTTTGGTTAGGAGAGAAAATCAGTGGAAAGAAAAAAAAATTAAAAAAAATGTATTTTAAGTGGAACTCATTTTCCTCCCAAAATTGGGAGGAAATCGAAGGAAAAACGTGGTACTTCATTCTTTTTTTCTATGATAATGTTTTTTCCCTCTCGCCTCTCATCGGTCGTCCCTCTCATTTGCAAACCGATGCAGTAACACAAATCCGCAAATCAACACAGGGTTATCGACGTTACATGCGCTTTCTCTCCGGTCGGCATTGTGTTTCCGAGCAGACGAAGCTTACACTCACGGTATTGGTGTTTCATCACATCCAAGCGACCTCGTATTGGTGTAAGCTTAAACCGGATCCGTAAATCAAAAAGAAAAGTTCATCCAAAGTTGTAGCGTAAGCGAAGGCGGAGTAATGTGTTCTTTGTCTTCTATAAAATGGGTTGTGTTTGATCTTGAATGTGTGATGTCACTATCAATGTCAAAATTAGAAAATACACCATGATCTCCCTTTCCCGCTCGCGAGAACTTTCCAAACTTTTACCTCCTCCTTGTCAACATAGCGAGAGGGCGGAGGATAGCTACCCTTCGGTTTATGTTATTTATTTGTTCTTTCCTTTGATTTAGTTGCTTAGATTGATGTCATTTTGCCATTTGGTGTCAACATAGCAGAGGCGAGAGGATAACCGCCCTTGGGTTTAACATCCGAAAGCATGTTAGTGTACTTGCTCTTGCTCTCTCGTCTCATGTCTTCCCATACAAGCAATGTTGAACCGAATAGGGTTGTTTTTAGCACACACTTGTTACTACCGGTATGAAGAAGAGAACGTTTGATCTTTAAAGCCCTTTAACACTCTATCAAGTTACAACTGGTAGACAGATTTGGGATTGATGTGTGAATATGGACACGGTTTAATTATTAGCTCTGTTTTGGGCTACTTGATTCATTTTGATTTCTAAAACTCATTTTCTCAACCATATTGTCCGAATATTTCTTGACTTGTGTGGATTGACGGATGCATATAGGATTGTGGATTCGAGCTATGAATTTTCTATTTTAAATTCTAATTTTGTATTATTTCTTTTCAAATATGTTTCGAATTGGCAAATGGACTATATATTGGCCAAGTTATCTTTTCCGTTTGCTAATATGTCTCACCGGAAGACTTGGTTGGTAAGAAAATTTCAAACCATCATCTTTGGTAGTACTTCTAAGTTCTAAGAACCGGGATAGTGTAATCACTCACACAAAGAGTTGGAGAGGATTCTAATGACTAAAAGGCGTAAACCACTAGTTGAATGTCTTCCTCTATGTATTTTAAGGACTTAGGAAACATGGGAAGATATATTGATCATGCATTGTGTAGGATACTTATGATTTTCCTTAGAATGTGATGGTCACCCGTACTATGCAAATCATGTGCAAAGCTTGATCATGCTTCATCCGATGCGATTACAACCGGAGTTATACAACCAATGTTACGACAAACAACCTTTGGTTATTCAAGGTGCCGGAGCGAGCAATGATACAACGACGAGTGATGTACTTGATGATATCCTGGAGATTCGGGATTTATTTCCTTGAGAAGAGTAGATAAGTGCATAATTCATGTGGAAGATTAAAGAGTTGAAGTTACTTGGTAATTATCTTGTCAAACAGAGATGCCGGTTCCGGAAAAACATCGAGTGGAGAATTTCATGTAACGGCTACTTGTTTCATTTAGCTCAAAATTTATGGGTTTCACCCGGGAGCCACCGATGCGGGTGGCTCAAAGTTTTTGAGATGTTGATGTGTCCATGAAAAAGTACGAGTTAAAAATAAAATTCCGTATATGTGAGGTATGCTTATCGTGTCAAGATGCTAATCATGTTAGGCTATGATTGTCATTTTAGAGTTTGGATATGTGAACTCACGTAAATTAAAGAATACCAAGTTTGAAGTTTTTTGAGTGTGATGTCATGTATTAGCCTAATGCACTCGTTCTAGTTTAATAATGAAAGGAGGCCTTTGAGCCTCTATTATTTGAATGGTAATACGAAAAGATTGATTGTTATAAACTCGGTGCTGGAAAATTGGTAAGTGATTTCTTTGGTCATGGCCCATTTTTTACTTATGACTATTTGGGGTTTTCTTCCTAAATCTCTAAGTTCAAATTTACGAGGGAAAAAAAAAGGTTTTACTTTTCACCCACCATATTTTGCACAAGCATTTTCTTTATACCAAGTGACGGATATATGCCCTAAAATTTATCACATATCATCTGTATGATTATATTGTAATTTTTAAGAAAATTATGAAATGAATAAATCAAAACGCACATCATTAAGAATTATTAAGTTGGTGGTCTTTTAATGCATCAAAAAGGGAAGGAAAAAAAACTTAAGTGTTCTTTTTCATAGCATCCATGTTATGATGAACAATATCATGAAACCGGAAATATTATTATTAAGTTGGCGGTCTTTTAATGCATCAAAAACACCTGCAAACTAGCTTCAAAACCACCCAAAACACCCTCAAAAAATAAGCCTAAAACCAACCCCAAAACAAACCCAACACCTACCCAAAGCCCCCAAACTCAACCCCGAAACCGTTACCAACGACCTCCTAAAACCCTTACAGAGCAACCCCTTCGGATAGGTCATTTGAACCACCAAAGCAGCTTCAACAACAACCACAAACCAATTTCAAAACCACCCAAAAAACCCTCAAAATACCATAAAAAAAGGCCTAAAACCAATCCCAAAAAGACCTAACACCTACCCAAAGCCCACAAACTCGACCTCAGAATCGTTACCAACAGCCCTCTCAAAACCTTTACAGAGCAACTCCTTTGGAAAGGCCATTTGAACCACCAAAGAAGCCCCAAAAACACCCACATACCAAATTCAAAACCACTAAACCCCCTCAAAATCCACTAAAATAGACAAAAAAATCCCTCAAAACAGCCCCTCGAACACTTTTTGGAGTTACTATAAAAGAAGAAATAAAACTTATTTATGATTTATCTCATTTTTTGTGATTCAATTGACTTTTTATAATTTTTCGCAATGTTACAATATACTCTTTTTTTTAATTACTAAATAGTAATTTTTTATTCTAAAAAAAAGCGAAGAAAATGATGGGTAAAAGCAACTAGCTTATTTTATGTATAGATAATAATACATGTTATACATATTTAAATTAATTTTATGTTGATAATTAATCTAAATTGACTATTGAATTAATTAATTAATTAACGAGTTATTGATTATTCTATGTAGATGATTCATTATCCATCTTATCATTTCAAATAGATGTTATATGCTAGATTTTTATTTTATTATCATTTGTGTTATTTTCATGAAAAAAATATTCATACAAATTTATCATAAGTATTTAAATATAGAAATATAAGCATAGGGGTATTATAGCAAATATACAATAATACATTTTCTTTCCTCCCTCTTTTTACAATTATCCAAACAAGAAAAATATAATTTCTTTCCTTTCATTTCCACTCTTATCCAAACAACAAGTGGAAAATAGTTTTCTTTCCTCTCACTTTCTTTCCTCTCTTTTCTTTCCTCCCAAGAGGAAATATCCAAACAAGGGTAAGGTGGTTTTGAAGCTAGTTTGTGAGTGTTTTTTAAGTCGCTTTGGTGATTCAAATGACTCGTCCAAAATAGTTGCTCTGTAAGGATTTTGGGAGGTTGTTGGTAACTATTTCAAGGCTGAATTTGGGGGCTTTGGGTAGGTGTAAGGTCTGTTTTGAGGCTATTTTTTAGGGTGTTTTGGGGCTTGTTTGTAGCTGTTTGAGAGTTAATTTTGGTGCTTTGTGGAAGGTTTTATTTTTTAGGCCATTTTGGAGGAGATCGCCAAAAAACCTTTTTAGTTTGGACGGAGACAATCGACCAGGCCTCATCATATTTGTTATCATGAAAATTCTTTTTTCACCGGAGTAGTACAGTATTTGTATATTTTATGCAAAGTCAAGTTTTTAAGCTTCAATGCTTACCTTTTATATGGACTTCATCTACAACAAAAAATAATTAAAAGTGATTATCACGGGAATGTGAGAAAGGATGTACATCCATTGGTAATATTCAATGGTTCTCTCAAAATTTGATCATCTTGAAATTGATTTGTAAAAAGAGTTTTAAGTTATTATTTCCTTTTTTATATTTTCATTATGTTAAATATATATATATATATATATATGCAAACTTCGCTTTTGTGAAAACACAACAAAGAAAGAAGCCAAAATTTTTTTTTCTAAAAATGTAAAAATAATAAAAAGGAGCATAAATTCTATCTATGTTTACAGATTGCACATCTCTTGCAAAATCACAGACTCAACCATATCCGATTCATCGTTGCAATCCCCAACATTATCCCATAAATAATTGAGCAACAATTTCGCATGGAAATTTCGAGCTAAACTCGCAAAAACAATTAAAAAATAGAAGGAAGACATTCTAATTAGAATTCGGGGAAACAAAGGCTGATTGGTAGTATACACTTCTATTAATAACAAGATTCAAGAAGAAGGTAAGTAGCTAGATCTTGTACGTAAACCAAACTAGTCGCATCCGGCAATCCTTGCCGGAGATCGTCAACATTATTTCTTCTAGATGTAGAAGAAACACTAGTGGGCCGATTATTATTATCGTCGCTATTAGAATGCTTGACGGGAGCGAGGAGCAATAGAAGCTCGACATACGGGACGATTGGAATTAGAATTGAGCCATATCCGAATACAAGCGAGCATGAAAGGAGTGCTTGCACACACTTAGTTGCTCATGTTCTTAATTTTGACATTGAATTTCAAACCGTAAATCATATCACACATTATAGATCAAACACAACCCAAAAAAAAAAGTAGTGGAGTATAAAACGAAAACCTTTGACATAAGTGCAAATGCCGAACCCATCCGAGAACACACTTGGATCACCCAAATATGACCTACATAAGCAATGCATCAAAATTCCATTGCATAGACATACTAGGTGAAAACACATCGAGAAGCAACAAAATTCCTAGATTTCGAGCATTTCCTACAAACACATGTGCATACAAAATTACATACATATATAAAGGTGTGTGCTTGTATATGCGTAATTCAACAAAAGCAAGCGAGAACAACAAATCAAATATAACAAAGACAACATGTCCATATATTAAATGATAGTTGCATTCCAATACAAACAATGTCGAGATCCAAGAACCAAGTTAAGGTAAATGCAATCAGCACCGACCTACTGAGCATATGTCCACGGACATGGGCATCCAAAAACCCAACCGCATCTACGAGTTTCAAACATATTAAATGTTTGTTTATATATTTTCTTGTTACTCTAGAAAGGGTCGAGCTAAAGCATTAAACT